AAAACCAAAGTTTTCCATGGAATTTCAATATCATCCGAAGATGACGGCGAGGATGTAGATCCGGCAATTGATGAAACCATTGCAAGATTCAAAAATGTTATTGACCTTCTGGTCTCAGCTCTCAACAAAAGATTTGCATTGAATGATAAGCAAAAACATTTGCAATGGATACGCTTTCTTAATCTTCGCAACTGGCCGGTCAGACAATTACAAGGTAACCCACCGGCTTACTGGAAATATACGAAATTGTTTTGCACGTTTAACAATAATACCTATTTTTCAGGTTTTGGTGACGATGATGTGAATAACCTCTTAAAACACTTCCTTCCATATTTGTCTGCTGCGTATAATTCTGCTGATGTCATTGAAGAAGACTTTGTGGGAGAAGCCATGCTGGAATGGGATGAGCTTAAGACGAAAATCTATGGACGGTGACCAACTAAGCGTTTTTCACTGTGCTGACCTGTATATTTCACCTATATATAATTTCTCAATATATTATTGTCTCATTTCAGATATGGTGGTAAGAACATTGCAAAAGAACTGACATGGCAAAGTATCAATGTTGAATTTGGTCCAGATGCAGAACACTTCCTCCTCCTTGTTGACTTGCTTCTGACCATTCCTGCTCATTCAGCTGAATGCGAACGTGGCTTTTCCCTTCTGAAGACGATCAAAACAGACTGGAGAAACAAGCTGTCTGATAGTGCTGTCACTGACCTGATTCGAATCACATTAGAGTGTGCAGATATCAAGTTGTTCAACCCAGATCCAGCAATACATGCATGGAACAAACGTTCTATTAGAGGCCGACGTCCCAACCAAAAGAGGTGGAGAACACACAAAAAGTCACAAGAACCCCTGGTTGCTGGACCAGATGAAGATCTCTCTGTCAGTGATGATGCTGATGCATCTGATTCTAGTGATTCAGATTGTGATTCAGATTCTCACACTGAGACTACGAGTGTCTCAGATAAAGATCAAATTAGCAACAATGACATGCTTGAGTTATTCAACACCGATTCAGATGAAAGTGATTTTGATGGATTTTAAATTTAGATTTGAGTGCATACTGTAACGTTACCATTAAATATCAGTGAAGTTGATATTAAATATCAGTGAAGTTCCTTTTAGGATTCTAGTATATTAAACATAAAATGCGATGGATGGAAATGCTTAACTAAGAGTAAGCATTAAAGTGATGTTGTGTCTGGCCCTGGGATACGAAAAGCCAACTAGTTAAGTATCCCGATTTGGGATACTAGATTATCGGGAGGGATACCAAATTTTAAAACCTTGGTATCCATGTGGATACTTAAAAAAAAATCAAATTTCAGACCCTGTTTATGTTAGAAAGTGAAATGACAATGTAATGAGGGAGGAGGGTGGGGATTCTGTTATTAGCATTTGAAAATGTTTGTAAAAATTTTGTTTAAAATTAAGACTTTATAATGTGTAAAACCAAAATGTATAAGTATTTTAAGTGATATAACATCTTTCTAGTTTGCTTCTATATGTCAGAGTGTCTAACACTGCACTTGCTTCTAACACTGCATTTGATGACAGCTTAGTTGGACTGTTGTTTTGAACAGAAATACAGGCCCAGGATTTAATTCAATATCTCCTGAGAACATTAGCTTCCTTTGATATTGTTCATTGGCAATATTGCCTGCTACGGTTTGACTATTTAAAATACTACATGAAAAAGCACAATTAACACAACTATATATACTGCATCTTCCATATGAAATACCATCCGCTAACATACTTCACAAGCACGGTCAACCCAAGACTCTGTGAGGTTTGCTATAGCCCTAACACACAGTCACGTCATTATTCAATGTTTCATTAAAAATCACATCTCTCCAGTACCATCCATTTATCTCCTTAATGTAATTTTGTTGTACCAACGGGATGGTTTGTCCAAGGCCATTATTCTGCATGCCGTTCAAGCAATGTTCGCCTTTCTCTACAGTCATTTTTAATGATATTGACCAAATATATTACACTATTCTACCATGTTGCAATTGAAACGCGAAACTGGTTCAGACTGCTTTGGACAATCAATACTTATTATATATATATATATATATATTACTTGAAGGTATTATCCATATAGTATACTACATAATGACTACCATACTGATTAATGTGCAGTCAAAATATTTTTGCCAGACCCTGGGCACCGCGTTTTTTGTATATTGTAAAACATCCGGAATGATTAGTCTAAGGCATCTAACAGTTTAAATAAGGTTTACCCTTGTGGCATAATTAAATGTTCTGCCCGATTCTATAAACTGCATTTTTGTAGATTGTACAACATCTAACTATTCTACCTATCAACAGTTAGATACATGACACAAACCATAGGCTTCATGACATATTTCACAGCATGGTTTGCTTTCAAGAGCCTGTGAGTATGTACATAATCTAACTGCATCTATACTTAAATACTAAGGAATAAACTTACAATCCTCACATAGCCTTAACCACATGTGATGGACAGATTACAAAATACACAGTGAACAACAGGGACAAAGTTTACAATATCTCACTGCATGATCTACTTTCCAGACCCTGTGAAGATATATTTAAGAAAAACATTTACTCAAATGAGATACAGGAAAATTACACAACACAAAATCACAAGTCTTGTTACCAATTCCTAATTTGCAATATTGCAGTATGGTCAAATCCGACACTATCATAAATTCATGTGCATCATCAAATTACACCTATCAAACTACCAACTTTACATACAGTACATGCTATTCAACTTTAATTACGATATTTCTGCAATGGATTGGCATAAAAAGACAAAACAATGGATGCACAATACACATGCACCTTTTATACAATATTTCATGGCATGGTCTACTTTCAAGACCCTGTTGAAAATATAAGAAATCCATTAGATAAATAATGATTATCAGTAAACCACAGGTCCAATATGCATGTAGAGGCCAGTAGTGTAGTATAGAATATCAATAAAAAGAATGGGGGGTGTGGGAACCAAAAAATATAATAGGAAATAGTATTGTGTGAGTCTCATGGAAAGGGTGTGTCAGGGCATTAGCTATGGCTGTACGGACGGGGGGAACTCTGTTGGTCGCATGGATTCAGGAATGTATGGATTTTAGCGAATCAGAGACCAGGGATTTAATGAGATGCATGAAATATGTTCATTTCTTCATGGTTCCCACACCCGACTCGTCGCTATAGCGAGGGTTGATGCGCATGTCCGAACCCAAAGCCTTGGTCGACTGAACTGATTAGGATTTGAAAATGCACGCCATGGTTCGCGTGGTGACGTCATGGTCGTGCATTGTGATTGGTCCGTGTATTTCAATGTATTCATAAATTGATCCTGTGTGTCGGATGTCTGTGAAGACATTAGAGGACAATTTTGATTGGTTAATGTTGATGATGTCATTTTGTGTATAAAATTTTTTAATGTTCGCGCTCTTTTTCAGTCGTGATGGAACAAGCGAAGTGGGAGGAGGTTGTAGTTTTGTGGATGTGTGGTAAATCATTTGAATTAGAAGAAGATAATGACAATGGTTGTCGTTTATCGAAGGAGAAAGAGGAATGGCAAATTGTTGATTTGGAGAACATTTTGTTGAAACACGAATTTTTCCCGGACTTTATTTGTGGGGATGATGCGTTCTATGATATATTGTTGAGACGAATGCTGGCACAGTTGGTTTTATGTGTGGGTGTTCTGGAACGACCACAGCTTGGCAATTTTGCTCATCTATCAAACTGTAAGACGATGTTAGTACATGAGATTTTGGCGGATGTGCATAAACGTAAAGAGCAGTTCGAGAAGAAAACCGGTGTGAATCTTGATCACTATTACAGATTGGCTGTTACGAAAAAGCGTGGCGAGAAGAGAAAACAAGAGGCAGTTGAGGCACATACTAAATTGAAAAAAAATGTGAAACTAGGTATATGAAAGTTATTTTGCTGTACTTATGAAATCTTGAATTGTTGCTTCAGCCATGTTATCAGCAAATGTAAGTTTCAGATCATCGTCTAGTTCTAAGGGTAACGTTTCGCCTATTGTTTGTTCACTACCACATGTCTTTAAGTGTTCAGCTATGGCGTCTTCGATTTTTGCGTGTTCACTTTCAAATATCATTTCGTTGTTGAGATGGATGTACTTGTATTTGGGTCCGATTGTGGATGCTATATCAATGAACATGAACTCGTCACTGTTGTATTTGTCGATGCGTGCAAGTTTTTTGCGTAACTCTTCTATTTTATTCTCTCGATAGTTTTCGTACAATGTTGTGATCATTGTTTTGGCTTTTGTTTCACATTTTAGTTTTAGATCTTCGTTCAAGAGTTGTTCGAATGCTTTGTCTCGATTCTCATCGGCATGGTATTCGGCGACAGCCTTGTCTAGATCGACTTTGTACTTGTGAATTTCTTTGACGTGTTGAGATGTATGTACTCAAAGTCTGCGGGGTTGGTTTGGGATACGCGACCGGTTGCCATGAACTCTTGCATTCCTTCTGCTCACATTTGTTTAACTTTCTCGTTGAATTCGTGCTCTTGAAATACGAAGAGTTGTTGTGTATTTACTCACTGCATGCATACATGAATTGAGTTCAGTTTAACTCTTTATCGTCCGGCGATAAATTTGATATTTTTCATTGAATTACTTCTGATGAAAATATCTCAACAAGTATTCACCCCCCTTTAAAACCGAAACCACCATTGGAATCCTCAAATAATAACCTTTCTAACAGAGGGTCAAATGCCGTCATAACATTACACAAACCAAAACAATCGTATATTTTACTCACCGCTTGGCCAAACATTTTGAATTTGATATCAAGAGAATCTTGAATATGTCTTGAACTTTTCGGTATTCGCCTCATGTCAATATAAGTAAAATACTCCTTGTATTCAAGCGCTTTCTTGTAGAAAATTTCGTTTGAATAGGCCCACTTGAAATATTTATTTTGAATTTTTCAATATAAGGAGCTCCTGTAGCCCCATGCACGTGCAAATCACGCTGTAGGGGTAATTTGACCTTTAGAATCGATTTCCGATGTTTCCCGAGTGATGGGATGTAAGCACGCAATGTTTTGGCAAATCTAATATGAATTTCCGGTTGAAGCTCTCGCGTAAAATTTGTATATTTTGAAATACCAAAATAAAAGATGCAAATCTGTAGATATAAGCTTGAAAATAACACTCTAAATAGTGTTTTTGATTGTGAATCGAACAAGACTATTACGAAAAAGATATCGTAAAGGGGCCGAAGTTATGTTCGGCGAAAGGTATGCCTTAGTAAACATTGTTTACATATTTCGGGATTATTGTGTAATATAATGAAATATGAAGTTGCTTGACCTCTAAAGGTCGTAAATCGCTAAAATATTGACATTTTACTAACTCTATCGATAGGAAATTTCCTACTGAATCGAACAGTGTTATTTTCATCTACATAGCATGCACTGAACCAAAGATATAAATCTCCAAAGAACCAGTCCAGTCCTGGTCTAATTGGCACCGGACGAAAAAGAGTTAAAGAGATTAAAACAAATTAGGCTTTATGGTTAAAAACGCTTCTGCTGAGCAAATTTGTAGTTTAACTTGTCGCATCTTGACATGTTTGCGTTGTACACAAGACGTGAAAATCTCTGGTTTGCCATTGTAAAAAGCCCTAACACAACGTCTCTAACTCCTGTGGGGCTTTTAATTATTCATTTCGTTTGACGAAATCAGGAATATCATTGTGTGAATAGCTGTCGTCTTCGCGTTGCCGTCCTGTCTGTTTAAGGTGCCTAGTGTAGTTTGGCATTGTGTGTGTCGGTGTGTTCGCAGTGTCGACATTGTTCATTGAGACAGTCTTTTTTCGTTAGGCTTTGTACGATTTTTCGTTCGGCAGGTATCATTGTGTTCTCATCATCCATTTTTTTTGTGTTTTTTATGTGCTGGTTTGTTTGATGATGCCAAGAAACCAGCGAAAAAACAGTCGGGCAAGTCGATATTTATGAAGGAGGAGGAAGAGGACGATGCTCAAAGTGGAAGAATGTTGAAGAAAGTGTTTTTTTAAGAAGTCAATTACCAAATTTGGTAGTTGACTTCTTGTTAGTGACATTATAAAGTGTGTGTGTATTAGACAAACAATTAAAATAACAAACATGAATTGTACTGTAAAATATGAACGTGCGGTGTTGGAAGTCGAAATAGATTTTTCTATAGAAGAATGTCTTGGCATGTGTGTATGTGTTGTAGTTTGGCTAGTATGTCTGTAATGATGGTTGTTCTGTTAGAGTTTAGCATAGGCGAGATGGTAATGCAAAGGTCGAAGTTGATCAAGAGTCGTTCGAGAACGCTTTACGTTTAATTACACCACCAGCGTTGAGAGAAAAAAGGTCTACCCTTTGAGAACGGTGTTTTATGTGAAAGAAAATATGTGTTAGCATTTTGGAATGTATTAGTGACGAATGAAAAACTGTCGTGTTTAATGTATACGGGTCAATTTTTGAATAAATTAACTGTGATCGGTTACGGTTTTACATATTCAAAGAAAAGTGTACAGTGGAGTTTGCACTGGTCAGAAACGTAAAGCTTTTTCCCAGAAGAACGAGTGTGTAGTGAGGAAAATACCCTGTGTTGATGTCTGAAGATGTTAAAGCGTATTTTCCCTGGAATTGGACTGGGCGTACACGTGCAGAGCAACATGAACTATTTGATCAGATGTTGATGTATTTAATGCAACATGAACTTCATAAGAAATATATGCGAAAAATTAAATATGAAGAGTGGATGTGTGATGCTTTGCATGTTATGAAAGAGTGTACACATTTTTACGCTGAGGATTTGTATATAGATATACTTATTTTCTATGGACTTCTCGAATTAGAAGATGGTCTGAAGGATTATGATACGTATTTAATGATTATTAGATTATATGCTATGTACGAAGATTATTTTGAAGAATATTATAAACATGATAGACATAGTAATAGATATGCGAATGTGTATTATTTTATTGATTGTTTTACAGCCTATTAAATATCTTCTACAGTAAAGTATTTTGTTTTTGGATCTTTAATGTTTTCGATTCCAGTTTGAAATGCTTTATTGGTCACCCTCTTGACAATTTGTTTGTCATCACATGTAAATTTTGCAATTTTCTATAAAATGTATTCATAATAAAATAATTAGTTTAGTATGGGCAGACCATGAGTTATCGACGTAAATATAAAGAGTTCGATGAAGCTTTGATGAAACTTGTCGACGATATAATTGGTTTATCCTATATTGAACGTGCGCAGCATTTTAATTGGTACTATAGAGATTATTTGTATCAGGATATTCGATATGTCGCAGTTATATATGACCCGCCAGTAGGAGCGTATTGGAGGCACAAGTAAGACTTTTGGAGTGTGTGTATGGGTCCGTTTAAACAACAAAGATGCTCGTATAGACTTCGTTATTGGAACGGGTATTTTTTTATTTTTCGACCTGATTCCTATAGTTTACCGTTTGATGGCGAAGCACATTTAGAAATCGAAGAGATGTTGCGTGCTGATGATGGCGAATGTTCACTTCTTGAAATGGTTCAGAAAATTGTTCTGCGTACACACATACTTCTAACACTGCGATTTGTACATTTAGCGCGTAAGGCAAGATCTTATTATTATCGTGATGAATACTCACCTGATTGATTTTAATGCAATCGCCGTTTTGAATAATATCCACACATCGATGTGTTGTTAAATTTGGAACAGTAATTGCTAACATTTATGGCGGGAATTTCAATGCATGGTAACTCGATGGAACTAAAGTGATAAAGTACTTGTCATTTGTGTTGATGCGTATGTACATAGTTTCGAGTTCTTTATCTATTTGGTTTATTGAAACAGGATGACCTTCAGGTTCTATTTTTTGTGACATTTTTCTGGTGAGTGTAGTTGAGTTAGTTTGCTTGCTCTGAGTTAGGAATTGGATTTATATATATAATTAAAATGGAAGCACAGATATTTAAAAAAAAAATTTTTTATTGATGTTTCCACTTGTTTTTGTTTTATCTATGTTACTACGATAAATCGTTCATTGGGATTATCATCACTGACACATTGATAAAATTGCATCAGCATCAACTTCTTCGCAATATGGATAGTTCTTGCGTCGTCCATTTTAGCACGTTAAAAAAAAATAAGAAAAAATATAAGTACAAAAAATTGGGAAAAAATTATAATTTTTTTTTTGTACCTTATTTAGAAGAAGGCATTCGTCAGGTTCAAGAATCATTATTTTTGTGGGTTCCTTTATGATCTTTACGGCTGCTGTTATGCACGGCTGAAATGAAGTTGTATCAGCGTCGAGATCTCCCATGAGTATTACATTTAATGCGGTATTACAATTATTGTGAAAGTAGATTCTTTCTTTATCGTCAATGGGTACATCGTGGCTGTCTGGAATAGGCATTGTGACTGCGGGTGGTGTGCTACGTGTATGTCTGTTTTATAATAAGGGCAGCTGCTCAATTACCCTATATGGGTTGACATTTTTTGAATATTTCCTCAGGATCATTTTGTAATTTACTTAAAAGAAAAAGGAGAAAGCTTATTTTTTCAACAGCTTTCGTCTTTGATTCGTCTGCAATCTATAAAAAAAAATATAAAAAATGTATTTCCAGAAAATAAAAAAAGTTTATTCTTCTTACCATACTGATTTTTATACATTCATGTGCTGGAAGTACCGTGATCATAGTATGTTGCATTTCGGGATTCGCTTTTAAGAGTAATAGGGGTTTGTATTGTTGGAAATCTTGATTGATGTTACCAGTGATTATGAGGTTTACATTCGATTCCATATTGTTGCGAATGTAGATTCGTTTGTGCGTATAACAGTTTATTCCGCTATCCTGCATCATCTTGCTCACCGTAATAATTGTGCAGATAGAGTGTGTGGTGTATAAATGCGAAATTTGATCTGTCTTATAATGTGTGCTCCTATGTGGCAGAAACGGAAACGCGTATAAGATGCTCAAACGTAGGATCCCCACCTGCGCCTATAGCAATTTCCTATTGGACGGGGTCACGTTTGAGCTAGACCCACTTATACTATGGAGGTTCGAGTACTCCCTAAGGAGCACACTTTATTTTGAAACGGAAATATGTCATTTGGGGGGGGGGGTAATAAAATACGGACACGTATGTAAAGCAAGACACATTTATAGTACAATGGAGCGTTGGCATATTCATATTTTCCTCTGTTGTATTAATAAAATACGGACACGTATGTAAAGCAAGACACATTTATAGTACAATGGAGCGTTGGCATATTCATATTTTCCTGTGTTGTGCACATTGGTAATTTTTGGGTATTGGTTGTGGATCTTATTTCCTCACGACTGGGTGAAAAAACAATGAGTAACAAGTTAACAGTTACACTGAAAAATCTTCCTGAATTTCAATATGCTGAGGCAGAAAGACAAGAAAAGGATTGCTAATTATCTAATGAGAATATGGGAAGATTTTGCGAATTATATGTGGTGTGAACGAGGCTGATCTGAACAAGTATCTCGATGAAGGCGCATGTGAAGAGTATACGATTTTGCTTATATCCAAATCAGCTCATTGTTTTATATGCGAGTCGCCTAAAGAGGACGGGTGTGATCTGCAAGTACATCGAAAGCATCACAAGATGAATTGCAGCGGGAATGTTTTCTGCAGTATTTGTGGTTCCCGTCCCAGGAATCAACCTTGTAATGCCGCGAAACACGAACACTGGGATAAAATGACTTGTGTACATTGCAGGCGAGGCAACGAGTGTACCGATAAGTTTCGTGATCCTGTAGCAGGGGATAAAAAAGTAGTGGTAGTGGAGAAGGAGGAGAACGATGATATAGAACATGTTTTGATTCATTGAACATTTAAAAAAAAGTACAGTCTTCGATATATTTTGAGTATAAATTTTAATACTAAGTAGAAAAAAAATGTAGACTATTTTTTTCCTAACAAAGAATGCACAGCTGTTCTGTACTCTATAGAGTTAAATATTTGTTTGTATTTATTATGTATCATTTTAGGTGACACAGAATTGTCTCGTGTGTAAAAAAAAAATATTTTCTCTATTTCTATGTCTGCGTCTCTCTTGTCGTCTTTTTCGTTTTCCTCTCCTCTATAGTCTGATTCCATTTTTTATTTCAGTATTTGAAATGCTCTACATGCTTCTCGACTATGCAATGCTCAATCGAGTCTATCATCTAATGCTTTGAGTTGCTCATTAAAGTAATGTCCAGGGTTCTGAACTTGCATCTTTGCGTATAACAAGTCTGCATTCGGTGCAGCATGTTTTATCTTGTACCCACATCTCACTGTAACAGTAGTATTTTTTTCGTCGTTGTTGGGTGTTGTGGGTTTTTTGCCGGGCACAAATTTAATGGGTTTGATTCGGGGAATGGGTTTGAGTTTTCGTCTGTTTTTTTTTTTGGGGGGTGATGAGCTCGATATCCTTGTGGGGTCCTCTTGATTTGACAGCTGCAGTATTGACATTCTCGAAGAGGAGAGGCGATTCGGGGTTGTTGTACACTGTGTCAGTGTCTTTGCTTTTGTGAGATGATGATGATGATGGTAGGATGGTTTCTTTAACAACGTTGTCGAGTCGAAATTTTGAGAAGGGATTTGTATTCGGTACATTTTCTTTTGGCGTCACGATCGTTTAATTTACGAAGTGCTGTGTGATATAATAATTGACTGGTGTGACTAGCGATGCATTTGTTGCAATTGTCTTCGCACACAATCGTGGGTTGTGGGGGCTGTGTTTTACACTTGTTTGACATGATTTTGTTGATGTGTCTCTCGTGCATATAGTTTTTCACTCTTTTTTTATTAACGCTTCTGTTAGGTGAATTACCTTATTTGGAGTGTGTCTTGCGAGCGAGTTAGTCGATTACCTTATATGGTAAATGAATAACAAATTACGCGGATAAAAATATTATGCTTGGTTGGCAAGCAACATAGGTGAGTGATGGATTGTTTTCCTTTAGCTAAGGGTTTTACACCCTGGTGTGATTGTGTTCCTGTTAAAGTATCGTTTTCGGATTTTTGTTATACGTGATATACAAGACATACACGACGATTGAGAGAGGAATTTCTCATTTCATATCGTAAATTAGAAGGCGAAGGCATTCCAATACCCGACTGTTATTACTTTATTGCGAGGGAAATTGATAATTTCTTATTTTAGCTGGAGAGATGGCAAAATATCAACCTACACACAAATCGACAATCTGTTGTACATGCAAAGTGTGCAAGTCCTGGGATCGAAGGAGTACAGGCTTTTGGGAATGTCGTAAGATTGAATGTGGTTGTGAGGAAAGAGTGAATTTCGTGGTGAAAAACATAAAGAAAGATTCGAACGAGCTAAGTATTACGTATGGATGTGCCAACGAAAAATGTGGTTTTAAGATTGCCGCACACGATGCCAATTGTCACGCGTACGTCACAATAATCAAGGATCTGCAACCCTATCTGTTTTGGTTTACACCCGAAAAATGCGAGTCATCGGAACACGCAAATGATCGTGGAACATGTTACGGCAGGTACCGTGGTTTTGGAACCTACGAAATATCACTCCATTGATCTTAACAATGAACTACAATTGCTGTTCGTGTGTTCTAAAGGTCGTTGTTCATATCATCGATCTGTACCCCAAATCATGCATGGACAAAGCGAAGGTATTCGTTGCATTTGTCAACCGTATTTGGTTTATCATGATGAGCGGCAAATATTTTCATGTCCTGTGCCAGACAGTGGTTGCGGTGCTCGCTTTCACGAATTGGACTCGTTGACTTACATGCATACGGAGATCGCAAAAACAGTGACCGAAGATCATGCTTGGATGTGTTTGCATTGCAAAGCGATGAAAGTATGCGAGCAGCCAGGTATTTTGAAGTACAGACTGAACGAATCGAACATGCATGGCGAACTGATGTATGAATGTAGACAGAACAGTAAGTGTAGACAAATTCAACGTGATATACTATCGCCAATTTTATTAAGTAATGGTATACAGATATAAATTTTGTACATTTTCTACGTAGTAATAAGTTTTTTTGATTCTTGTATTTTGTATTTTCTATATATTTTCTCCAAGCTACCACATTTCTTTTCCCATTTCCTGTATGTTGTCTCCAAGTTCTTCCAAAAACACTCCCTCCACCACATTGTCTTTTCAGGCCACTATTTTGAAGATCGCCACGTTTACTATAATCATAATCGTATACGAGACCTCCACGTTGTTTTGTAATTGCTTTGAGATACGCTGGATTAAATTTTGAGTTATTGGCGAGATCCCATTCTCCTTTTACAATCCCTCCTGTATAGAGAAGGCAACTTTTATTTGCATAGGGGTTTCCTGTACATTTCTCTATGATGGTTGTCCATGTATTTTTAAAATTTACGTTCCGAAGGCGGGTTATACTGATGTCTGCATTTGTCATAAGTTTAGTAAAAAATCCTCCTGGAAATAAAAATAACATTTTTTTTACCAAAAAGAGTTTTTGGCTTTTCTCATCATTAATCTGAATCCGGCTTGTTGTTTTGGTTGTATCGTGCTCTCCATAATGATCTAAAAAACCTGTATTGACTGCATCTGTTAGAAACCCACACCCCCGCCTTTTTCTCACCATTCTTGGTGGTTCATTATAGTAATATTGTTGTGGCGGTGGTGCTCGTCTCCGGGGTGCACGCCTTTGTTGCGGTCGGAACAAATTCCCTAGCAATGCAAGTCCAGGTAAAAAAAACCCATCTTGTTTTTTACGACGTGATCGTTGGTATTTTTTTCCTTGAAAATTTCCGCCCTTCTGTTTACCCATGGTTGTAATAGTGAGTGAAATGATTTGTGAAAGCAAGATACATTAATTTAAATATATTTTTTTGGAAAGATACTATATAAAATTTTTATTAGTTTTTTTTTACGTATGTGACACCCGTGTTGCAAAGAGACTGGGACTGAATTAGGTTTTGTTTAAAATGGAATGGTCCACAGTGTTATCGTACGGTAGTTTTTATAAGACCACTTATTTATTTGAGAAATTACTAGTTCATCATGAAGATGATACTTTTGTGTTTCTTTTATCGTACGAGTACAAATTGAAATTTAAAGTTCACATTTTTCCAAACTATACCTATATGATTGTGTTAGCTTCGGAAAATTATTTCAGACAAGTAGGACTTATTACTTTGGCTGATGAATACGAAGCATAAGTGATATCGAAAGTCGGGACTTTTGTAGTGTTGTTTATGAACTTTTGTCGTTACGCAGTGAACAAAGAATACATCTATAATTAAGAAAAAGAAATTGGTCATTACATGTTGACTAATTTTAGGGGTGGCGCCCTGCATGGGTCTCGTTGTCCCGTTTGCACTAGCCCCATTGGACGTATACCCTGTAGTCTTTGTATAATAATATGTAACCTTTTATATGTATGTCCAATAAAGCTGTTAAAAAAAAAAAAAAAAATTCGAGGCACATTTCATAGATTGGGATATTCGGTACGCGTTTTTCTCCTTACCGTATCGTATGATCAAAGTGTTTCATAGCAAAGATGACGACATTCTTGAACTCAAGAAGATTGCTCATTGTGACGCCGAATAGAGAATGTGTCCATGTTGTGTCGAGGGGATCGTATTCGAAATGGACCAATATAACATCAGGGGTACCACAGGGAACAATTTTAGGACCTATTCTGTTTTTAATTTATATCAATGATCTCCCGAATGAAATTGTAAGTCACGTCAAGCTGTTTGCAGATGATACAAAAGTGTACCGAAAGCTATCGGACCCAGAGAACGACGGGGAAATACTTCAGTAAGACTTGAACCGTATGAGCGAGTGGACAAATTTGTGGCAATTGAGCTTCAATCTTGATAAGTGCGAAGTTATGCGGATAACTCATCATAAAGATAAATCAATACCTGAATACTACCTGTCTGACAAGAAACTAAAAGTGGTGAACGAATTTAAAGATCTAGGCGTAATTGTATCTAGTGATCTATCATGGAGTAATCAGGTTGCCTCGACAGTTAAGAAAGCTAACCGCATTGTTGGTTTAATTAAACGGACTATCGGTTTTTCAAGTACGAGCATTTTTTCCACATTATATAAATCCTTGGTGAGACCTGTCTTGGAATACGCAGCGCCAGTTTGGTCGCCATATCTGGTTAAAGACGTGAAAGCCCTAGAACATGTTCAAAGAAGAGCATCGAGAATTGCTCTGAAACAGAAACGAGGCGAAATGCCATACAACGAACGTTGTAAATTGCTAAAATGGGACACACTAGAAAAACGTAGAAAGTTTCTTTCCCTAGTAGAGTGCTACAAGATAGTATTTGAACTTAATGGCGGCATAATATTCAGCGAAGTTTTAGAATATAGACACTCCAAGAGGACAAGATCTAACCACCAATACACCTTATATCCTAAACTACTAAAAATTAATTGTTACAAATACTCACTATTTGTAAGGATTATCAGTGACTGGAACAGTTTACCATGCTCGGTTGTAGGAGTAAATAACATTAGAGAATTTAAAAGAGAACTGAAGTCGAACATGGACATGTACTTGTAATTTAACATTTAGGTATTTTAACTTAGTAATAGGTAAAGGTGATCTTTATATAGGGATCTCCTGCAAGAGCCTCAATATTATTGTAGGTACTTTGAATAAATTATTGACTACAATAGAATGATATATAGGCTTACATTGTGAACCCTTGCGAATGAGTGAGAATATATTGTATTGTTTTTTTACAAACAAACGTGATAATACGATGTTTGAATTTCTTAAGGTAGTTGTAAGGAAGATAGGTAGTACTTTAATTATTAACTATAAAGCAGCTAATGATAGTTTGTTCTTTGAGTATTTTCTAAACGGTTGTTGTAATATGACCTTGAATCATTTAAGAGAAAGTATGTCTGTGACGGGCGTGTATGTTTACACATCAGTAGAAGAGTTTATATTATATCTATGTAGCTATGATTGTAGTTATTCATTCATAAAGAAATGTACAGAAGCTGAGTTTGAGAGATATTATCAATAAAAAAAATGAATACTCGTATTACTCGTCGAATGTATATGTACATTCCACCGCTGTATCGTGAGGGTAGACATCATGAATTTACGGTTATATTTGACGGTAGATTTTATCAGTGTAGACGTATCTGGAGTGTACGCCGTACTTGCGATAATGATTTTGTGCTTTCTGTTTGTAGTCGTTGTACCGAATTTGTTATCGAAATGCATTTACATGTGGTAAAAATACAGTTAAGGGGTGAATTGAAATGTTTTCGTTATGCGACTACGGTTATGACGCAGCGTGAGTACTTGATGCTTATGGTTTACTTACGATATTATTGTAACAAATTAAAACATAGACCGTATTATGAAGTAAAACCTGTGATCAAAAAACATTTTCTACGTCTTGGTGTGTATCTTGATCCTAGTGTGTTTGAATTGGTAATATTTTTTCATTCTTTGGATACATCTTTAATGGATAGTGAACAAATGAATATTACCCCTAAGCTGTGTGATGTTCCTGTAAAAATCATGCGTAGTGTATATATTTTAGTATTTTTTAGAGAATGAACTATGGCATATCACATTGAGAAATGGTACGGATTTCATAAATTTAAAAACGAAGAGATAAGAAAAATAGATGAGTATATTACAGAGAAAATTTATTAGCAAACACATCGGTGTCTTTGCGAACCAGAAAATCGTGATTTAACTGATGTTATGTATTGTGGGGAACGGCAGGTTCGGTCCCGTTCAGTACGATCCCACAAGATCACAAATTTACTCACAGTTTAGTCATAAACATAAAATTATATTTCACAAAGATTTAGCTCTCGCTCACTTGGCTCACAATCTCACAAGACCGAAAACATGCACAGACACTATCTTTTAACACAACAAAACGGATTAATATGAGTTCAATTAACTAATGACGTAAGTTCAAATAATAGGTTCTAGATGAACAGTACATGATAACACTTAGTTTAAGGCAATTTCCGACACACTCCCTCATGTGACTTCAGAAGGAAGGCACATGAAAGGAGGAATTGTCTCGTCAGGTAAACAACAATATATATATATATATAAAGGTACATAAGTTCAGTCACTTAGCTGTCTTGCACAGCAGCTTGTCTCTTGATCTTCTCCTTCGCTTGTACAGCCGCCACACGTTTAGGGCGAAACACCAGTGCTTCAGCACATAATGCATTTTTCTCGGAATGATCACACAATAACTCTAACGGATAGAGATGCTGGATTGGACGTTCTAGATGATCTTTACCAGCCCGTAACTTCACAGCTCGCACAATACCATCTTTTCCCTTCACTAGTTTCACGACAATCCCCAAAGGCCACTTTCCACGATTTCTCTCTTGAGACTTAATGATGACAATGTCTCCAACTTGTAACTTTGATTCCGTTTTACCGCTCCTCATACAGTGTCGTTCTCTTAGTGCACAGAGGTATTCTGCAGTCCAACGAGACCACAAATGATCTTTGCACTTTCTTAGATATTTCTCGCGCTTTCGTAAGTCTTTGTTTTCCACGACAGCTGGATCTTGCTCCTGTAGCAAGATGGGACCTTGGAAGAGAAATGATGCCGGTGTCAACACTGGTAGTTGGATATCTTCTTCCAGGTAACTGAGGGGGTGATTGTTAAGAGCCACTTCGACATCCAACAGTAGCAACACGACTTCGCACAATTCTGGCCATGTAAGTAAACCATTTCCAATAGACTTGTAAAAAGAAGACTTAAACACTCCTATTAAGCGTTCAAACTGTCCGCCCCACCATGGAGCTCTGCTGAGGTTAAAAGACCATGCAATGGAATGTTCAGAAAGAAAGCTGTTCAGCTTCTCATCTCGCTGAACCCTTTTCAGCCGACGAGCCGCTGCAACAAAGGTTTTCCCGTTATCTGAATAAATTCGTTTGGGACGACCACGACGTGCAACAAATCTTTTCAAGCTTGCGACAAACTCTGTTGCTTCGAGGCTAGGCAACACTTCCAAGAACAGGGCTCAAGTAAGGCAGCAGGCATACAGAACAAGATAAGCTTTCGACTCTACCTTTCCTTTGCGACGATAGCGAATAGGACCTGCGAAGTCTACACCAACGGATTCAAATGCTCTTGAACCTTCGGTACGCGAAGTGGGTAACAAACCAGGCGGTGGTTTCGAAAGAGCTTGGGCTTGAAATCGTTTACATCCGTAACACTGTCCAATGACTCGTTTTGCTAGGCTTCGCAGACGTGGAATCCAATATAACTCACAGATTTTCGCCATGGTAAGCAGCATACCACCGTGTAAGGTGTCGATATGGGCTTCTGCTACTAATTTCTCAGCAAATGTTCCAATATCTGAGAGATAAGTTGGATATACGCCTTGAATACGGCCGCGACATTCGAGAATTTCTGCTGTATTTCCTTGTAAATTTAATTGAGCACTGTCAACAACAAACTTTCGATGAGTCTTCGCTCGGGCTTGCTCTCGTAGGATCCACCAGTTTCTTTGTTGTTGTAATTCTTCCGCCGTAAGAGGACCGTAAATCTTGGGCTTTCGCAATGAATTGTGCACGAATCTGGAAATCCAAGCACACACACGCAGGGTAGTGGGCAAATCACATTTTTCTAACAGCTCATCGAAGACATCAGGTTCATGTTCAACGGTGGCAAGAACAGATTGGATTATCTTGGATTCAGCAGCAGATTCTGAGCTCTCACTTGTAACGGGATTCATAGGCCACGACTCAGCAGAAGGTAACCACAGGGCCATGCCACCAGAGTTTCATATTGTTGACAGGTCCACCACGACTACCAATATCTGCAGGATTTTGGGCTGTGGGTACATATCTCCAACCATTAACATCATGAGCTTGTATCTTTTGAACTCTGTTAGCAACAAATTGGCGGTACTCCCCATTGCCACAGATCCAGTGGAGAGCGACTGCACTGTCGAGCCAACAATACACTCCGGTTATAGGAAAGCCTTCGATTGCCTCGCGAACATTTTGGACGAGATTCACCGCCATGTGCCCAGCAACCAATTCCAATCTTGGAATAGTTGACCCACGTTTCGCCAATCTCGATTTAGCCGTAACAAGACCTTGAATAACTCCTGATTGCTGTCAAATGACGGCGTACACTGCAGAACAAACACCACGACCACTGGCGTCGCCAGTGAAGCTCCACTGCTTTGATGGGCTCTCTGTGGGAGACCAAGGTACGGTTAAAGGTGACGTGCTTGGGTAAGGAATCTTCCCACTTCAACCATTCTTTCAACAGTGATTCGCGTATAGGTGTATCCCAGCTCAGTTTCGAATCGCACACGTTTCGATAGATGACCTTGCCTTCGAGGGTGACAGGGGAAACTAATCCAAATGGGTCGTACACCTTCGCTAATTTTCCAAAAATTCTGCGTTTCGTGGGTTCTTCGCTGATCTTCTTTGGAAACGTCACGCTCAAAGTATCTTTGTCGCAATCCCACGGCAAGCCAAGAATGCTTGTTTTATTAGACTGAGAAATGTTCAACTGTTGTTCAACAAATGATGGTTCCATATCAGCATAACTTCCGGTACTCCGCACCATAGTCTCTAGTTCTGGAACGTTAGAGTGCCATTTATGAAGATGAAAACTGGCGTCGTCAAAAATCTCAATTGCATTTCGTTTAAGCTCTTGCACTTCGTTAACAGCTGTACCCCCGGATATCAGATCATCTACGTACAAACTGCGACGGATTTCTTGTACGCTTTGAGGGTGCCTTGATTCCCAACCAATAAGATGTTGCTCGATAACACCTCCAAGTAAGAAAGGCGAAGGTGCTAGGCCAAACAATGCACGAGTAAATCGATAGGTTTCCACTTCATTTGAATCGAGGCTCTTCAACCAGTGGAACCGAAGTGCATCACGATCACCGTCTCTAATTCGCACTTGTAGAAAGGCTTTGCGTAAATCACCGGTCAAACACACTGGGTGAAATCTACCACGAACCAACACATTCCACAATTTGTTTTGTAGAGGGGGGCCTGGGTCTAGGCAGTCGTCAAGCGAAGGGGAATTTCGGTAGGCTTTTGCTGAGCAATCGTAAACAATTCTCATCTTCGTGCTCTCGGCTTCATCACAGATAACAGCGCGGTGAGGCACGTAGCATTCTCTTCCCACAACTTTTTCAGGCGCCTTTTCAACAACTCCTTCGGCGAGTTGTTCTTGAATGATTGTATCATACGCTTTGAGATTTCCGTCTCGTCTCAATTTATTGATTTGGCTTTTCATACGAGTGAGACTGCCAGAGCAATTGGATGGTAGCGGTGGGTGGTTGGTTGCCTTTCCACGTTAGATTGGTCTCGTACCAGCCTTCGATTGGATGGCGGGTCAGCTCCTCACGAAATTCCTTGTAGACCTCCCCCTGATCGCCGGGGGGTTTATCTTCCAAACCAAGCACGTCAAGAGTACACAAACGGTCATAGTCAGTGGTGGTGTTGACTGCGAGAAACTCGGTTTTATGATCAGCTCCGTCTCCAGGTGCCATTATAGCCCAGCCAAAACGCGTTAATTCAGCGACTGGTTCGCCTTGTCTACCAATTCATGCCTGGGTTTGCGTGCGGATTTTGGCATATTTGTTTGTGCCAATTATCAAATGTACAGGTAAATTTCTATCATCGGTCATGTCATCGATAGTAACACCTCTCAAGTGCTGATACTCACTTAAAAGCCGTTCATAATTAGGATTATCTAAAGTCAATAGTTCGCACTTGTTTATTTTAGTAACTCTGGCATTGAGAATAAATTTCCGTATTATCGCTTCTAAAGACAAATCGTGTTCTTCAACTTTAGTCGTAGTTGTGCTCATTAAGGTAGCTATTCTGCGAGTACTAGTTTTGACAGGACACGCTTTAATTTGTTCGATTAAGGTCGAGGAAGCGTAAGAGTGACTGGCGCCACTATCAAGCAACGCACAGAATGTCTGTCCGTTTATCTTAACACTACAGGATGAATTACAGATGTTTTGTTTATACTGGCTGTGAAACTTGTACCGTTGTTAGTTTCATCAGGGTTTTTACTCTCACATATCGAAGTATGATGTCGCTCTTCGCAGAGTTGGCACGAGATTTTACTCTTACAAGAATTCGCATGATGCTGACCACTTGCGCAATTAAAACATAAACGCTTTTTGGCAAGGATTTTCTTTCTCTCAAGTGGTGTCAACACCTTGTCACAGGTTTTGGCTCTATGATCTGTACTTTCGCAGTACACACATTTTATTTCATGATTGCGTGACCCAAACGCTTGCCCACCCGGGGACTGACTGTAGGGATCTTTTCCAAATTTATCGCGTTTATGAACTTTAGGAACTAGATTGGTCTCCGTCCATTTTTTCAAGGATTCTAACAAATCCTTGAATGTCCAATCTCTCCAATCAGTCTTAACATGAGTCACAAGTTCGGCTTTGATGATTTCAAGTTTGCGCAACACGTAATAGGTTGTGCCTTCAATGCTATCAAGTTTCCCAAGGGTTTCCAAGCTCTCAATGTTAAACAATAGCTGTTCGTAAAATCGGTGTATTTTGGAAACGTCCCTTTCACTAATGGTCGGCAATTCTAAGAGACTAACTACATATGAACCAGCTACTTCGCTAGGGTGCCCATATTTATCTTCTAAATACTTGAAGGCCCGAGTGTATCCTTCGTCTGTAAACGGGAGGCAGTCTATCGCGGTTCTAATACTTGGCTCAACAAGCTGTTTAAGGTGGGAGAACTTAGTTATCGATGGTACACTTTGCGAGTCGACCATCGCTTCAAACTGGCCTTTGAAGCGCACCCAGTCATGCGGTTTACCATTAAATCTAGTTATGCTGAGCTTAGGCAATCTCACGGTTTTCTCAGCAATTTTCTTCTCTTTCAGTGCGGCCTCTAACTTCTGCTCTAATTATTGTTTTTCAAATTGCATTGTCTGTTCCTGTGTATGCTTCAATTCAACTTCTTTTGCCCTTTGATCTATGGTCTTCACGAAATCGGCAAGTTTCTGCATACACTTGTCAGCCAGTGCAATTTGATTTTCTATCTCTGTAGACCATTGTTCTATTGATTCATCAGATTCGCTCTGCGCGAATTTGGCTTCTTCAATGGAACCTTTTAAAATACTAATTGTACTTACAATTGTTGTGATGGACTCACAGTGTCTGTTTATGGCTGCTCTATCTTCATTCCCGAGTACTTCATCGCAGCGTTTCAATCTGAAGTTCAACGCCTTGAGCTTCGCATCCATCTCACTTTGCTGTTTCTTCATGTTCGAAATGTCGAATCACAATCCCGTCGGAGGTGCCAGTAATGTGGGGGAACGGCAGCTTCGGTCCCGTTCAGTACGATCCCACAAGATCACAAATTTACTCACAGTTTAGTCATAAACATAAAATTATATTTCACAAAGATTTAGCTCTCGCTCACTTGGCTCACAATCTCACAAGACCGAAAACATGCACAGACACTTATCTTTTAACACAACAAAACGGATTAATATGAGTTCAATTAACTAATGACGTAAGTTCGAATAATAGGTTCTAGATGAGCAGTACATGATAACACTTAGTTTAAGGCAATTTCCAACAGTATTATCTCGTGGAGGCCAATGATTGGTGTTTAAAATCCATGCATAATCGACTATGGGCACTTGCCATTGGTTGTTTGATTTACAAAATGCATGGGCGGTTAGAATTTTTGGATATGAATAAAAAGTATTTTTATTTAGATAAAATTACGATATTGCATTTATAAATGTGCTGAAAGTTTTACAGAGATCATCTCCGATCGTCTTGCCTAACGAACAACACCTTAAAAAAATGGCTACGACCACTACAATGGAAATATACAGTAAACGATATGCTTTGTGCCAACACATATTGGCACAATACATAAATAAAACAACAAAAACAGTGTGGTTTGAGAGGCATCAGAAGAAATGTTTCCTCGCATCAGGTCTATGCACCAAAGGGGGGCGATCAGAAGAAATTTTTATTTAGAACATGTCTTGGTATCAGCATGGATGAGATGCTGGAGTTGTGCGAGGCTTTCTGTAAAGCAACTCGTTTACGAAATGTGGACAACTATTTTGAATTGTCCAACAGCAAAGATTGGAATGGCAACGCTATTCGACTGGTGCTATGTGATGATCCAGAATTTGGTGGGCAGAAATTAGCGAGATTGCGAGCAGTTAGTGATGATATGGAAGTCGATGGTGGCAACGCCGATTCAGATCCTGATCCTCTGGATGATATTGAAACCCTCAACTCAAACGAATGTGTAGTGAGCTGGAATGAATGTTTTGAAAAATTTTATTTTTGAAAAAAAGACGACTGGTTGACAATGATGTCCAGCATCTTCTTGCCGTGGACAAAGAATCGTCAACATTTGGCATACCCCCACACCACCACTACCTGCTGTCACAACAACAACACAGAAACAGATCGTGCAGATCCCTCAGAAACCAATACATCTCAGACCAAAGGTGGTGGTAAGAAACCGGTAGCCAAATGCAAGAGACCCAACAACACAGAAATGCAGTTCAGTGATGACCAGGTATTTAATCATTCCGTATTTTCTAAGGGCAGTAGCTACACCCTTTAACTATGGATCTATAATAGAATATGAACACTTAGTAAATGAAGCAGCTTTGAAAATGGTGGGGCGACAGCGACAACATTATAATCGACCACAACTTTGGTAGAGTGGAATGAAAACGAGGAATAAAATTTCGTATTTTTTTTTCATAGTGTCCTGAGTTGTCTAGAGCAATCACTGCCATGTTTGGTTTTATGTACTATAATGGGATAGATTGCGAAGAGGCTATACTTAAATATGTGGACTTCAATGATCTGGTTTCTTGCACTTCACTTGGTGGTTTAATATTTGAATGATGTTCTTAGGATTTGTAATCCAAGTGAGTATATATATACATTTTAAGACCTGAGCACAAGGTCCTCTGGTAGGAATTGAACCTACGGCCCTGCGATTCCGGTGCAGCGCTCTAACCAACTGAGCTACAGAGGCCAGCTGTTGAGCTGTAACCGTAAGTTCAGTATATATAGGTGATCGGGTGTGCGGGTTGTGATAAGGTGGACTTCAATGATCTGGTTTCTTGCACTTCACTTGGTGGTTTAATATTTGAATGCTGTTCTTAGGGTTTGTAATCCAAGTGAGTATATATATATATATACATTTTAAGACCTGACCAGGAACGACTGCAAAAAATGCAGAAACTGCGAAAAATCAGGTCTTAAAATGTATATATATACTCACTTGGATTACAAACCCTAAGAACAGCATTCAAATATTAAACCACCAAGTGAAGTGCAAGAAACCAGATCATTGAAGTCCACCTTATCACAACCCGCACACCCGATCACCTATATATACATGAACTTACGGTTACAGCTCAACAGCTGGCCTCTGTAGCTCAGTTGGTTAGAGTGCTGCACCGGAATCGCAGGGCCGTACGTAGGTTCAATTCCTACCAGAGGACCTTGTGCTGCATTTTTCGTAGTCATTCCTGGTCAGGTCTTAAAATGTATATATATACTCACTTGGATTACAAACCCTAAGAACAGCATTCAAATACTTAAATATAGTGACGAGTTGAACACTCATCAAAAATTTAACTATATGCGTTTAATTAAAAATCATAAATCAATGATTGAGAATATGTACCAAAGAGTGCGATATTTGCTAGAAAGTGATGATGAAGATTATGATCGAGCAAAAGTCATAAAAGAATCAATATCATTATATGCTTGTGTGTGTGTTGATGTTCATTCTCGGTTCGCACGCATTCGTAAAGTTATTGAAAACAAAATCGGCAGTGAATGTAGAGAAAAAATCCGAGGAACTTCTCTTAGAGCAGGGAGTGCTACAAAAAGTACAGAGTGACGAGGGAACAGAAGTTTCATTAGAGACCTTAAGATTGACGTTTACTGCAAACAGCAAACCGCTAGCGAAGTTTTTGATTTTACAACTCTATTATAATAGCTTTTACACCAGTTTTGAAATATGTTAGACTTATCAAACTTGTGCTCTTTAGCAATGATTTAAGAAAGCAAATTAACCACTAGTCATGCCATTCACCAAAGCAGTAAATTAAGATTTGGCGTTTGAAATTGACGTTTGGCGTATAGATTTCATGCTTTAATGACTACAAGCCCTCGTAGCAGTTCAAGAATGAAATTTATACGCCAAACGTCAACTTCAAACGCCAAATCTTAATTTACTGCTTTGGTGAATGGCATGACTAGTGGTTAATTTGCTTTCTTAAATCATTGCTAAAGAGTACAAGTATAATAAGTTTAACATATTTTAAAACTGGTGTAAAAGCTATTATAATAGAGTTGTAAAATCAAGAACCTCGCTAGCGGTTTGACGTTTGCCGTAAACGTCAATCTTAAGGTCTCTATTGATCAAACGTAATCTTGCACCGCAATACGGTTTTAAAGTATTTCACACTTATAATCAAGAAATGAAAGCAGTGCATGCCAAACGATTTATTCAAACATTAAAACAAATGGTTCAACGTACACTGGCAACACTCGATTTGGGTTTTCACTACATTTGTTTTTTACCCTTGATCATAGAACGTTACAATGAATCACCACATCAAGGTTTGTTCGGTGCTACACCGCACGACATCTATGTGAAGAGAAAACCTGTGAATGAATTTCGATTACTAAAAAGCATGGTAAACGGTTCAAAACCCACACACAATCTGTTACATGTCGGCGATACAGTTCATCTATTGCGTATTAAGAATAACTAATATTAAGAAATTTAAAATAAACAAAGTGTTCATTACCGATCCAGTAACCTACGAACTGCAAGACGAAAAAGGTGAAAAAATACAGGGTATTTTCTATCGTAAGGAATTACAAAAGATAGCGTGATGAATATTCAAATTGTAAGCAACACACGTAACAATGTGGGCGGTGAAAATTTTAACAATAGCTTTACGATGCCGCTCCCTGAATTGATTGACGCTGAAAAAGAACGTAAATACATACGTGTCCTAAGCATTAGTTATCCCCAAACGATTGAAAATGTTCGTGAAGAACAATGTGGTATACGTCTTAGATACCGTCTTAGATACCGTTTTCACCAACCCCAAGATATATATACCAACACTCAACGAATGCTGATGGTGTAACATTTCCGACTGAATTATACGAGATGATATTGTTGCCGAGACAGGACTCGTTTGAAATTGAAATGACCGATAGTTTAAAATACATGTTGGGTATAACAGAATGGAATGTTCACTCCATAATCAGCCAAATTAAAGAGCAATTTGAGAAGAATGTGCCAGATGCATCCCTATCAATGTTGCAAATCATGCTGCTTGCGACAGGACTTCAACCTGAACACTACACATTTCACAGGAAATTTATGCCCGACATGAGTAATGGTATAAAGAAAATGTTCATTTATTGTGATGAGGTGGAACATTCTATTGTGGGTAATGTTAAAGCAAGACATTTAGCAAGTATACCAATTGTAACCGAGGATCAAGGAAGTTCGTCATTGTGCAATTATAGACCACCGGAAGTAACTCGAGGGTTAATTAAATGTAACATTAAAGATTTACATATAGGCATATACGATACAACCTTCACAGCACTACCGTTTTCTGCTGGTACTATTACTATTGAGTGTGTGATAGAAAAAAATATGTTGAAACTAGAGATGACCGTGCAAAATCAAGAACTGGTTCCCACGAGTTATAAATTGTATAAGTATGAGACTTTTAACTTGGCCAACATGAAGACGAAAAAAATACTACAACTTGAGTTATGTTTGGGTTAACTTTACCGGTGGTTGGGTAAGATGCACACTATAATGCAGTAGAAAATTAAAGATCAGTGGAAATGAAAATGGCGTTACTTGTAAAATAAATATTGGTTTGGGTGGTGAATTTTACGACGGTAAAGATCTGTACAAAGATGGGCTATCGAAACAAGATAAACAATACGCGTGTTTTGAGCCACGTCTGTTAGCGCACATTGACCAGCATAATCCTGAAAGATATTATAACGGGGAAAAAAGTCATTTCCGTCATTTTTAATGCAAGAAAATATCGTGAATTTAAAGGAAATAGTTCATTTCGAGTTGATTTGGTCCGACGACATATCAAAAGCCTTATCACCTAATGACAATCAAAAAATCGTAGTACATTTTAATATATTCAACAAAGACGAAAAAGATGAATAAATAGCATACCCTCTATCCACAAACTATTTATTTGAAACACGATGGCTAGCAAAGAGGTGTATACAAAATATCTGTACGGTTGCGGTGCACGATATAAGGAAAGTGATATGCTTGTATTAGATAGTTCGAGAAAAAGTACGGAAGAGAGAACGTTAAAGAATATCGCGCCGCCAGCCCATTTGAATCTGACATACGCCAATCCGCGACAACCCAAAGTGGGACAAGTACCCCGAGCAAAGAAGCAACGTACAGGAGGAGATATAAACAGGAATATTTTACAAGCTATTCTCAATGGGCCGCGCTAGAAAAAAAGGAAGAAAGAGAAAGCCAAGATCTAGCATACGACTTATGAACAAGTATTTTCCAAAATTACGATCGCGTCGCAAACAGAAAGGGGGTGCTTTTTGGTACTGGAATAGCTTTGGGTATGATGGCGCCCATGATAATGGGGACAAGTAGGTAAAATACTAAAAGTAAACGTGAATAAATAAATCGACATAAAATTACCTATTAAGCATAAAAAATAAATGTTGTGAAAATTTACTGTGTGTGTATTTTTTTCTCTTATAAATTCGTTTACACATCTTATTGTGTTATTCATTTGTACTCTTTCAAGATGAGTAAACGTACGTGTGCAGAAATGGAGGGGGGGGGGAAAGAAAAGAAATGGAGGGGGGGGGAAGCACGATGGTGCTTTTATGACTCCAATGGTCATGTTTCCCACTTTTCCTCATAATATTACGTTTGAAGAGTCTCGAGAATTAACCCCCATTAAGCGCCTGCGCTCTCCCCTTGACGAGTAAAATTGTCTGGCGTTAGACAGAGTAAAACACAAAAGTAGGGTGCGTCAGGGTGCAATGCGACTCAATGGGTTAACTAGACACATGGGCAGATAGGCCAGTTAACCCATTAAGCGCCAGCACTCTCCCCTTGACGAGTAAAATCGTCTGGCGTTAGACAGAGTAAAACACTAAAGTAGGTTGCGTCAGGGTGCAATGCGACTCAATGGGTTAAAGATCAATGCAACAACCGTGGACAATGATGCTGAAATTTACACATTCATGCATAATCGACAAGAATATGGTGTGATGCTAACAGAAGATGCCACTGTATCGGCAGCACTACAGGTTGTTGCTATTGCAAACAATGGGGCTTTGGCAGGTGATCAGGTTGTTGCTCCAATGGCACCCCCCCTTCGATTTGGTTGGAGAACCAAAGAAATCTATGTGAATAATGAGCTCATCAACCCCACTTCCACACACGAAGGTGATTTAGAATATGTAAATCATCTTCTCACAGAAACACCGACAACATATCGAGATAAGAATGAAATCACCATGGGATACCATGATACCCTGGTCATTTTGACAGTCATGTCGATTTGCATGACGGTGTGAATAATCTCGTCAATAAAGGTGCACATAAACGTTGCGAGGCATTTGCTCAAGGTGCCGAAGTACTATGTATGGATCATTTGGATCTATTGGGACATAATAAACGTTATGTTCCATCGTCCTATGATATGAAAATAGTGCTTCATCGTTTGGAGAAAACCAAATATCTTTTTGGTACAGATGGTCATTGTCAACTCGCAAAGATGCTGATTAAAGATTTGAAGTTAACCATACCCATGATGAAACCAGTTCAGCAATTGTCCAAGGCAATAAATGATATTATGATTCAGAAAGGTGAAGAATGCAAATTCTATACGACTCATCGATTGGTTGCAAAACCGTTGGCTATTGGTGCTCAGTATGTGCAATTTAGCAATATATTCAATGGTGCTCGACCAACACGGTTGATTTGTTATCAGAAATCGCAAACACGTTACAATGGTAGTCATGAGGAGAATACCAATCGATTGATTTTCCCCAACATTAATCATTTTGTGGTGAAAATCAACGAAGCTAATGTTGTACCTACGATCAGCAATGCCAAAGAGTCTTATCTGAATTTGGTACGGGTTTTGAATTGTCGTCACAGTGAGATGCCGTTTGATTTTGAACATTACGAACATTTGATTTTCGTTGGAGAATTCCGCAATCAATTGTCCATTGTTTACAAATCTGCAGCTCATAAAAAGTATGATTTCTAAATTTGCGCACAATAAAAACTCTCATTACATTAATACGTTACACATACGTCATTATGCCTGAAAAGCAAACACAGTGTTGTACTAAAAATACAAATAGCAGCTTCGTAATAATTTTCGAAACGTCGATTTTTTTTTTCATACTGTAAAAGTTCATACAATTTTTTATCATGTTCATCATGAATCGGAGGCAAAAACACCACATTGTCACACCAATAACCAGCGTCTCTATATATATTGGGTATAATATTTCCACACAAATTGTCGCAGCCACAGTACGGTTGAATAAACTCAGTGTTTTCCCAAGTATAACGTTCATACATATGAGTACAAACACAACTAAAACACATAAACATTCGTAATATCAACAAAAGTTTTTCCTGACATTTCAAAATGTTAGCCAAACGATACGAGAGTAACATATTAACACTTTCCATACATTTTTGTCTTAATGCATCCGGTACATAATACACATATCTACGAACACATTAAAAAAAAAACGATAAGCCTGAGATCGTACAAACGATATGTTCTCCTCTTGCGTACGTTCAGAATCAAAATTCAAAATCTCAATAGGTTGAATAATCTCACTATAGGGTAAACGCCACTTCTTACGTGCAACGTATGTCGATCTCGTTGGATAAACATTAAATTCAATATAGATTACAGCATAAACAGCTTGAGACCAACAAACAAAACCCACTTTCACTACACGTCGTCCATTGCTTTTAATCTTTAAATCCAGCAAATAAAAGTAAACATACGGGAATGTAACAATAGCACCCCTGTTTATGACGGCAGGCCAAGCTCGATTGCCAACTAATTTATATGTAGTTTCTGCAGTAAACGTTTTAATAAAAGACAATAATTTCTCGTCTTCTTGCAATTCTTTACAAACAACTGTTCTATCTTCGTTCTTGCCAATATATTTATTCTGTAATTCCAAATTCATTAAACCCTTATTACCATAATCTTTTCCACCAAAATTTAATTCATCCATAAAACCATATAATACTGGATATATTTAATCAATTCCTGCGAAAATAAAAGTCCTGTATCAGATAACATTTTCCTTATAAATTCTTCATACAGTGTGAGTACACCTCTTTCAACATAACTATGCAACATATTTCTAACGGCTGTTGCATATCTAGTTCTCCTTGCACTGGAAATATACAACTGTTCACTTGATAAACTTCCACTTTCCAATCTTCATAATAAATCTCTTTTAAAGACAAGTATTCATGAATACCCACGTAATAATATCCCTCGACTATAATATCACGTCGATCGGGTAGAATATATCTCTCATCATTATTTATGGGATGGAATCTATCCACACAACAATTCAATAGTAATTCTCTGACTATACAATCGTGTTTATTAAATGTAAATCTCTGTCTTCGTAGCATCCTCACATAATAAAGTTAGAAAACGTGGTGAAATCAAAACGCCTGTTTCGTTTGCAATAACTCTTGTCTTACTCACAATATTCCGTTGGTCTACAGTTAACCTATATAACGCAGACTCCAGTCTACGGTGTCTGACTTCATCATCAAACATTGAAGGATCAAAAAGATAAGCTACAGGTCGTATAGGTTACTACGCGACGTACAAAAATATTTTTTATAATATCAACAAAAACCAATCTATAATATTTATAATAAAATCCATTCGTAAAACCTTCATCATACAAAATATACTTTATTGATTTATAATAGTAATCTTTATAATACCAATCCCAACCGTTAAGGCGCCAATATTTATGAATTGTTGCATGCAATGTTATCGGTTTTTTTAAACACAACGTAACGTTGGGCTAAATCACGAATACATTTATCAAACTCACTTAGATCAACTTCCAATGGGACGGGTAAATCCGATTCAACCATTGTTGTAGGTTGCTGCACAGCCTCAAACTGCTCTGACGCCATCAATTTAAACAGCTCCATAACAACGTCAAAACATTCACAAGAGAGCAAATATGCCAAAACCATCACTGTTAATCCTATTAAAAGGAACAAGGTCAAACTCCCACCGCATCTAAAGAATTCAATAAACAAATAACGGAACATCAATCTAAATTGTACAGGCTTCATAACTTAACCATATACGATAATCGAGTAACTAGTCGTTAATCTCACATAACTTAGCCATATAAGGTAATCGAGTAACAACCGTGTGACACCCACACACATCTCCTCTATATGGTAAACAACCTAAATTTAATCTACAGACAATTTTTTCAACGTTTATTCATCACAATGTGCTCACTGCAACAACAAGATTTTCTGACATTCTTGGACTATCATGGTACGACTGTGGCAGACCAGATGGTGTACAATTATATGCTTATGTTCACAGACTTCTACAAATTCAAAAACGATGCAAACCTAAATTACGAGCTAGTATTCATACGATGGAACCAGCAGAACACAAAAACTCAATCATCCACAGTCGTCGTCCCATACACAACCAAAACATTGCCTGATGAGACCAACTGCATGAAATTCCAATACACCCCAACACCGAAAACTACAACAATGGAAGTGGATACACAAGCTGCCCAAGCTGCCGAACAGCTGATATCTAATTACGTTGGGCCAAATGATCTTATCGAAGAGTTACCTGACCTCTTCGGCGAAGCAATTCCGCCACCACCCCCACCACCATCCCTAAAACAATTACAAGCGCCGATATCACCACCACTAACCCTCGGTCAGAAAAACATTCAAGTGATGAAGGAAATTCATGCAGCCAACCAAAAACCACCAAACAAAACATCGACGTGTAGCGAACATTCCGCCACAAGCCCACGAAGACAAACAAAGTGCGGGCAGACCGACACGACATGAAACACTCTTGAAAATTGCAAACGAAGATCAAGACCAAGACAAGATAACGTCCCAAGAGTTAGTCTTGTATGCAATGGATGGGAGTGAGAAAAAGAAAAAACAATACTAACACATAGCAAAGAAAAAATCAAACTCTATAATGTGAAACACTATAGTTGTCACGCCTGTCAAAAATGCATCCAAAAGCGCCAATATGCGATACGCGGTGGGCAGCGGTTTTCGTTGCAAAAGTATCCAAAACATGCAAGTTACATGAAGTATGCAGAGCGAAACTTTCAAAATGGCGGGCGAACAGAGTGGAAAATTTAGGACTATTGATGTAGTTTTACAAGAAGTTGTTTGCCATAATGCTGGAAATGGTGGGAAAAGCGATGGGGCTAGGAAGATATGGGATGCCTTGTGCACAGTGGCCGTAGAATGGGAGCTGGGCTCCGACTGAAAGTCGTTCTGCCGATCTCTCAGTTGGCATATTAATAATAACATGGCATTGGCATGCTGCGGAAATTTTGACTAGCTCCGCAATGCCCTGCATTGTTTCGGCATGAATCGAGATTATGGCTGTCGGCAATAAAAGCGGAGTATTAGACATCCATTTCATGGTGAAATATATCGAGATATAAAGATATTCCCTTAGAGCTATTTTTCATGCTGGGATCAGAGATTGGTGAAAACCACTCCTGAGTATTGTGAGCCTTTTTGCTTGCTTCCTTGGGAAAAACAAAAATAATTATTTATAAACAGTAAGATTTCTCTTACTTTTATTCAGCAATGCTCTAAAATCAGTAAAATGTATATACAGCAAGTAAAATATTGTTGCATTTCAGAGCATTGTCCTTTTAAGCAGATATGATCACCACCATCTACATATAACTACAGTACATTTTTACTTTCACCGATCTCAATACACCCTTTGGGTAATTAAATCACAAATACCCCTTTGGTCTAGAAGCCGCACTCTCAAAAATAAAATAAATTCATGAACAAAAGGTTACCTGGACAGGGAAGGAGTTGTGACATAAATATCAAAAGAGTGTATACCAAGGAAGTTTTTTCACAAATTTTTTCAAGGAATATCTTGATTTATTTCACTATAAAACAGCATTCTACAATATTGAATGAACTAGGAAATGTTTCTTTTTCTCACCTGCAATATTGATTTCATTTCTCATGACAAAAACATTTGCCAGAAATGATTTATAGCATACCACCTGCTGACAGCCATAATCATGTCACATGTTGCAACAGTGCTAAGACACTGAATGTCATGACAACAACATGGCTGGGAATATGTTTGAATCTATTCATTTCTAAAAACTAGACCCTTATTACACACATTGGACACAGTTTCTTTTTTTAATGATTTTATTCATTGTTAGTGGGATATAGATAAATATGTAGACCACTGTTTGTTTATGATGCTCCTCTTGCTTGATCGCAGTGGGAATCGAACCCACGACTTTTGGTTTTCTCACCGACTTGACCCCATGCATGTATGGCCCAGTTGGTAGAGCATTGGACTAGCAAACCGAAGATCGCGGGTTCGATTCCCACCGCTGTCAAGCAAACTCTTCTGCTTGCCCGGTGTGAACACACTCAAAGTAGACTCAGTACCAGTGTATGCGACACCTTATAATAATACAATGTTCTATCTATCAGGATACTAGCATGTGTATATTTTATTTCTATTAATATTTTTTTCACACTGAGAACAATAAAATGCTGACATTGCATTATTTGATGATTGTAGTTTGATATCTTAACAGCCAAATCATTCTTGAATTCCCGGGTATATTCCTGCAAAAACATGCAATAATTATAAACAAAATTATACATATTCTACAATAATTATAAACCCAATGCCCAACTCCATCACTCCGTCTCCCTGTCAGGTGCACAAATCACCATAAATTTGTTGTCCTGGTGCACAAACCCTAAGAATTCAGGCAATCCCTCAGAAAACCTCATCCCAATAGCATGCTGTTCAGAATTATTTCCTATATTAGACAACCCTTCAGATAAATTTTTATCCAAAATTTTAATAATACACCCTTTCAATAATTACGTCATTTGGCCTGGGAGCCTTGCACTCATAAATCGAGATCCAGGGCTCCAAGAGCAAAATGTATGTGTGATGTAAATATCGAAAGGGTGTATATACAGGTTACCCTTAAGAATTTGGTTAAAATTCAGGCAATCCCTCAGAAAACCTCATCCCCAATAGCATGCTGTTCAGAATTATTTCCTATTTTAGACAACCCTTCGGATAAATTTTTATCAAAAAATTTGATAATACATCCTTTCAATAATTACATCATTTGACCTGGGAGCCTTGCACTCATGAATTGTGAGCTGGGACTCCAAGAGCAAAAAGTATGTGTGACGTAGTAATCGAAAGGGTGTATTTACAGGTTACCCTGAAGAATTTGGTTAAAATTCAGGCAATTCCTCAGAAAACCTCATCCCCAATAGCATGCTGTTCAGAATTATTTCCTATTTTAAATTAAACAACCCTTCGGATAAATATTTATCAAAAAATTTGATAATACATCCTTTCAATAATTACGTCATTTGGCCTGGGCACCTTGCACTCACGAATCATGATCTGGGGCTCCAAGAGCAAAAAGTATGTGTGACATAATAATCGAAAGGGTGTATTTACAGGTTACCCTGAAGAATTTTGTTAACATTGAGGAAATCCCTCGGAAAACCTCATCTCCAATACCATGCTGCTCAGAATTATTTCCTATTTTAGACAACCCTTCGGATGAATTTTATCCAAAATTTTAATAATACACCCTTTCAGTAATTACGTCATTTGGCCTGGGCGCCTTGAGCCCGTTTACACGACATTCATTTTGGGTACGGCACGCTTAAATTTTGGCACGCGGACCCATGCTTTTTGGTCCGCCAGTTGCGTTTACACGACGAAATTTTTGTTCTAAAAATTTTGGGTTCGGCACGCTTAAACTGGGAACGGTACTCTAACATTCACCTTGACTTGACATGAAATATCTAATCTACATTCAGCCATAACTTTTTGGTGTAGCGAAAAGTGTATTAAACTAATATTCCGAGCATTAAATTAACATTTCATTTTTACCAATTCTCTCAGCTTTTTCCCGAGTAAAATAAGCAGAAACTATATTTTTATTGAGATTAAGTTTTCGAAAATTTGTATTAAAGTATTTCCTGACAATTATTAATATTTTCGTAAAAAATACAAAGTTTGTGTATTTCCATGCATGCATGTATTTTTTCAACTGTAAGTTTATAAACTGATATAAACCTAGCAAAATCTCTACTTGTTGGTGCTTGAAGTGTTTTAATTTTCTAAGCTATATATAGATCATGATATTTCATTGACCTTCATGGCGATAAACAACTTTGTAATAAAGCAATAAATTCATATTATAAAAATATAGGATGCCATTTTGAAAGCGTGCACAGTGCGAACAAGAAACACTGCGTCAGTAACCTCGTATAAACTTAACTGGCTGACAAGCAGCGACAACAGATTAATTTCAGAATACTTAAACTAATATTTAGATATTCTGTTTTATTTCGTTGAAAATTAATTTATACTACAACAATGATTCGGCTGCAGGCTCATTGGACATTGCATGATTATGGTGAATGTTGACCGATAGCACTTCGCCCTTGGCAAATGATTGTTAATTATGAAATAACAATAATCTTCACCATCACATATATCAGCATTGCTTAAACTACTTAAATACAGTTCACTTTCTCTTCGCTTTGACTTGAGTGTAGCAAGAATACCAGTTGAATATTGCTTCTTTATGCATGACCACCTATAGTCATCTTGTATATGGCTTTTCGTCTGACCATGCACATGCATTTTCCATCGATATTTTGTTTGTACAGACACAATATTTTTGCAATGCGAGAAACAAAACGCGTGCGTAACAAGTTTTCGGTCCGCGGACCCATTTTTAAGCGGGCCGAGACTACCTCCTGAGGAGGTCTCGGCCCGCTTAAAATTTAGGGCCCGCGGACCCTTAATTTTGCGTTTACACGACAAAAATTAAGAGTGCCGTGCCCAAAAAAATGGGTCCGCGTGCCAAAATTTAAGCGTGCCGTGCCCAAAATGACTGTCGTGTAAACGGGGCTTTGCACTCATGAATCATGATCTGGGGCTCCAAGAGCAAAAAGTATGTGTTATGTAATCATCGAAAGGGTGTATTTACAGGTTACCCTGACAAATTTCATTAAAATTCAGGCGACCCCTCAGAAAACCTCATCCATAGGGGTGTGTGTATATAAAATGAATGGTTCATTAGGTGAAACAATCAAATATTGAATTCTCAGACAAATTTACTGTCTTTACTTGTCAAGGTGAAAATGTTGGGTATTATTATCAAAAATGCTTTTGAAAGATTATTCATGCAGTAAACAATAAACATAAATAAATACATTCAACGAAGGGATCTTTGACTCACTGTCCAAGTGGTTAAGTAAACATTAACCTAGCAGCTGAGCCGATCGATCATGTTGAAAAAATATGCATAAATACTATGATTTCACTATACCTAGAGGCATCGATTTGTTAAAATTTTGTACTAAATAAACTACCAAAACAATTAAAGGCTCATCTTACCCTTTTATCCAATCTTTTTAACTTCTTAGCCGTTGCTCTACCCTGCTTCGTCTTGTTATCTATGGCTATAAAGCTTAACCTTTGCTGTCGCATACGCTCCCGACAATGAAGCGCTTGTATTGTGTTGCTCTTTTCCACGGCATATTTACAATTTCATTGCACAATTATCAAAAAACAAAAAACATACGATTGTAAATGGACACTTTATCTTTCAAATCACACAATAACGAAAACAATCAGAGCATAAACAAAAAAGATATAATTAGCCGAAATTTGTGTATTTTAGCGACTTCCTTTGAAACTTCGTAACTAGCGCGAATGCCCGGAAGAAGACCAAGCAAACTAGAATAATAATAAAGTAACCATGGCAATAATTGGGATC